ATTTTACAAATCTCATTACAGCTCTAATTAAAATGTATACATCAAAGTTGTTTGTACTTTCAGGAGAATAAATGACTGGGTTCTTCTCATGGCCGATACAAACGTATGTGGAATACATTACACTAAGAAAAATATTCAATTAAAATCATTAAAACACAGAACGTATTTTTTAGACAATGAGAGAATTCATATCTTTGTAGAAGAAATTATTCTGCCAGGTTAAGTTAAGTTGTTAAGGATAGTATGCCGTATCGGAGGAAAACCGCATCTTTGCACACCGCTTATTTCGCCTTTAACAAAGTGCTGAACGATTACCTGTTTTTTTCCTTTATTTTCTTTACTAACCAGAAATGAAGTAGTGAAGTGTTATAAATTGGGGTCACAAATAGAGTCACCTAAGGTAATGGAAAAGCACTTTATGAAAAGCATACTCTAGCAATAAATTTTCCAAAGTGTTCACCGAGAACTGAACACCTTAACCACGAGGTAGTAAATGATATTGCGCCACCTTAGGCAGCCCTATTTTTTTGAGTTGCCATATTAGTTATGTTTATAAACCGTTTTCAATTTTCTGGCTTACATTTAATCCAGGACGTAAAACAAACCCAAGATTTTACACCTCATTACATACTTTTAGAGATAATTCTGATTAGACGACAGCTGTTCTCAGTGTTCTAAACAGTTTATAAAGTCGGTATACAGTTCTCACCCAACAACTCGATATTGTGGGGGAAGTAGGAGTTCGTAGTTCCATTTAAGGATGAGATTGAGTTCAGGGTTCCAGTTAATTTCATTAGAGGGTGACAACTATAACCATCTAAAAATACTGACACGGGGTCTGTTTAGGGGAATCAATTTCTCTTTCGGCAGTCTTTAATTCGGCGGTATTAATGACGTTAAATTCCCCTCTCAACTTTCCGGCGTGAATGTTTGACAATGAGCCACCGCTGTGTGGATGGGGGGCAGACGAATGACTGCGTAAGTGACGAGACTGATAAACGACCTAAGACCGCCTAAATAAATCGCCCCTGGCACAATACCACGAACCGCGTGTGGTACCCCTGCGCGCAGACACTACCTCAAGATCCTGTTTAAAGCGCAGCCCGCGGGGAAGGCAAGGGCTGCGCGAGCGCGTGACGGAAGGCAGCGGCGGGCAGTCGTGCGCGCACGCGTGTGTGTATTTTCCACGCGATCAATCACCGCGCGCGCCGAGGAGAGCGGCGAGCGCGATTAATGAGGCGGAGTAAATGTTGAGACTGAGCGCTAATGGCGGGCGACGACGCGGAAGGAGCGTCAGGCGGCCGGGTCTCCCTGCGAGGGGACTAGCCCCTAGGGAAGAGGGGCTTCCTCTGGCGTCTTCTCGAAGTGCGACGCGTAATGGAGATGTCACATTGCTGGTATACAGGGTTTCATTTTGTGTCTATCTCTGCGTCTCTGTCTTCCTCTGACTCGCCCTGTATCTGTCTCTCTCGACAGGGATGAAAAAAAAAACCACAATCAAGACATTTATTATGGTCCTTCAGTGTGCAACGGGTTGCGTCAAGCGCCGTTACGAAGATGCGGAACCACGGAAAGCAGGCTCCACGGAAAATTTCCCGGAGGATCCTGAAATTGGTAGTGCACAACGTGGGTTCCCGGTACGTTATCTCGGGATTCTCCCGTCTCCCGTTTCCCCGGTCTCTCCACCAGTTAGCAACCGGCTTAGGTCACTCAGGGCGTCAATCGATATCTCTGTACTTTCTCTGGGTGGGAGGTCTTACGGTTAGTCGTTGGCTATGGTGTTGCCCCGCTGATGCGGGTATGACGTCTTAGGTACATACCACAAGAACACATACACGACTGGGCTATAAAAAGTTTATTGACATAATTATGTAATATAAAAAAGACAATGATTGTTTGTTGCTTTGTTGGTTCATACCTAATGCGTTCATCCAATTGCCATACAACTCTATGATTATTGCTTGAAATTCCAGGAAGAATACAGCATTATACGATGGGAACGACTGCGCACATAGACGCGCGATAATGATGATTTTATGCTGTCCCAAGCGTCCTGAATAGGGCGCTCTACGTAACGGCGCTTGACACAACCCGTTGCACACTGAATTACGATTATAAAGATGTCTTCATTGTGTTTTTTTCATTTCTTTTGAGAGAGACTGATACAGGGAGGGTCAGAGGAAGGCAGAGACACAGATAGAGAAACAAACAGATCCAGAGAGTAAAAGAGAGAGAAAGATACATAGGGAGACATAGACAGACTGCAAGAGAGAGGGAACCATATTCGCGAGAAAGTCTTTCTATTGACATTTTTGCAGAGCGTAAACCGTGATTAACAATCACGCTGCTAGTAGCGTATAAAGTGTAATACATTGATTTATCAAATAATACCCGTTTCCTCTAATATAAAATATACAGGTCCTCAGTCTGAGGCGTTTGTCGAAGCTGACCCCTTTCAGACCCCTTTCTACACTCGCCTTGCGCGTGCCAACTCAGCCTACTCGCGATTCGCCGTTCGTCGTGTCCTGGCAGACACACTCTGCCTTATAGTGGTAGAGAACCACTCAGACGTGCCCGAACGCATCAGAGCACCTGGTGCACACAGCACTTCGCGCCAGCCTTTGCAGTGTTACTGCGAGAAAACCAAGAAGCGTTACCCACGAGTGGCTTCACGGCTCTCCCTTATAGAGGGTCAAACCACGTGACTTGGTACGTCATCTGCGCTCCCACGCGCTGCTCTAGGACTGCCATCTCCCGCGATAAGATGCAATTATGCGTGAGTACCGACATCATACCGTAGATAGCATTTCTTTTTAAAGAAAGTCAGTGATTTTTTAATTACTTCTGTTATATCTTAGTTGAGCCAGTTTTCTTTGTAATCATGTATCAAGGAGTTGTTCTCGATAGGCACAAAAGACGTTTGTAGAAGCTCGTTTGTATCTTATCCAGTTGATTAGTGTATCTTAAACTCCAGATACCTGACACGTATAGCACAGTAGATGCTATCACGGAATCAAAAAGTTTCCCATCAGTCTGCAAAACATAATTTTCCCCTGATATTAAGATATGTTGTTGTAAATTTGATGTATGTAAATTATATATTTCTGCCACTCAGATGGAAAATACCTTGTAGCACAAATAAATCTAAGAAAACTTCTATATAGTTTTTAATTCTCTGTTGTTTTTTTTCGTTTACGAGGCTTTGGCGGGAAATTTGCCTGGATGTAATCGCACAACATGACTTCACAGTGATACCTGTCATTCCCTCCCTCCAGGTGTTTGTATCCAAACCCGATAACCAGTCATTGGTAGTGCTTCGTACCCGAAACTACCCCGAGTTAGAAATATGCACCAATGAACATTGCAGTCACGCTCTCGGAAACCTACAATAACCAAATTTCTCCTGCCTTTCATTCCAGTAGTTCATCATCATTCCTAACGGGACAACATACTCACAAACGCGTCCGAAGCACTAGCCCTTACCACATACGACTATAAAGATACGATCAGGCAACAGTCCACATACGGTGGAGTGTAGGTCGTGCGCCATTTGTCACGCACGTCACGTCCTTGTGTAATTGCATTGACTCAAAAGGTGTTTTTTTTTACTTGTGATCAATATGTATTGTAGCGTCACGGCTTGGCAGCAGCCGAGTGCAAGGTAGAGGGCTGGGGGATCTAAAGATAGAACAAAGAAGGGACCTTCCGACAGGAAATGGTCCGCGGGCCAGGCAGCGCCAGGGAAAGGCTTTCCACCGCACGGGGGTGGGGAGTAGTGACGTAGGAGGTCAGGTGACCTGGACCTATAAAGACGCCGTGGCGAGACGGCGCGAGTGGGTAACGTTTTGGTTTCCTCGTGGCTAGACCACAAAAACTTTGTCCGCCCAGGCTGGTGCGGAGTGCCGAGGGCACTTGGTTGTTCGAGGAGTTCGGACAGGGTGATTTCAAACACATTCGGGCAGATCGTCAATCTGCCGGGGCACACCAGGTGCCAATCTACGACGCGGCCTTGCCGGCTGGTCGTAGGCGTCGCCGCAAGGCGCATGTAGGGAGAGGAGGGCTGCAGTGGTAGCTCTGGCAAACCGCCTTAGAGTGAGAGTTGTAAATATGTACAGTGTGTAAATAAAACTTGTATATACTCACTCGTGTCTGTTTCCTTGTAGTGTAGATCCCTACACACGACGTTACAGTATCGTGATATTGATCGTGAATGTAATTTTATATAATTCTACCGGTCTTCTTATCTAAAAACGTTTATTGGTATTAGTTCTTAGAAACTTGCCATTTTCGCTTCGCTTACTGCAACCACACATTCACACTGCGCCTGCTCGCACAGAACAGCGAAATGACTGATTTCGAAAGATCGATAGCAAAGCGCGCAAAAAACCATGCAATGAACATATTAGAGCAGTTAAAATTTAAATATTAATACTATCATTGCGTTATAGAATTACTCTTTGTGCTATAGAATCGGATGTCAAGAGCAAGTGATAACGCATGTATAGTACACTACTTTTCATTAAAAAACAATAAAATTACATTTTATTGAATAGGAAGCCCAAACGACTTTCTAAACGAAAACACTTTTTAATTACATAAATGAATATGCCATCGTCTCAGGAATCCAGAATTAATGGCCACATGCGGGTACCGTCACGCCGAGTGCTGGTGCGAAAAATTTCACACGTATTCTGCGCCTTAAGGACTGTAATGCACGCATAATACCTCAACTAACTGATCTATTGTGCACAAAGTTTTAAAGGTAAACAGGTTTGAAAAAGAATAAAGACTATATATCTAACAACTGCAGCATCAATATAAATACTGAAATCTTTACGCTTCTGCGGTGATCATCATATATTATAAATGCTGTGAGATATTCCTGTGATGCTGCGTCGATGATGATGTTGGTGACGTTTTGACTGACGTGTGTGGGTAGTTTTCAGAGCTGGAATGCAGGAGGTTTTTTGTCTCACTAGTTTATATTCTTTGTTGTCCAGTTTTTGGGCGGTTGAGCACGGAGGCAACCACCTCTTCTCCAGATTTGAAGAAATGGAAGATCGCAACGTCGAATATGCTGCCTTGAAGTTGCACCTCAGGTCAGGTACGTTCATTCGCATAACTACCTGCGGAAGACAGCAGTATTGCTTTTTGTTATAGTGATGGTTGTTTGTATAGTTGTTGTTGTTGTTGTTGTTGACGTTGTTGTGCTTGATTGATAGATTTGTGTGCGTGTTTTGGGGCGCGACATCTGTTGTGGTCATTAGTCCCGTAACTAAAGTGCATGCTTTATCGCGGGAAAGGCGGTCCTTTTCCCCACTGGATGACGAGATCCGACGCCACCCACATATCGGCTTGCATGGTTTTCCCAAGCCAGGTATCTCCCACCAGCGGAGAACCTCCGCAGCCAGACAAGCTCTGACCTCTCCACTGGTGTTCCGACATGTATGGTAGTGAAGTGCATATTAGTGAGTGTGTATAAGTAAAAGTTGAGGATTGGTCATGGAAGAGTAAGAAAGGATCTCGCCCGGTACGTGACCCGTTTGCAATAATACTGCTCCGGCATTGGTGTTGATTGAAGAAACTACAGAAAACAACAGATCAGAGCGGGCAGTAGTTAGAATTCTCCAGAAAGCGGCAGAATTCGATCTATATATTGTAACGTATTAGCCAGCGTGCCTCATGGCATCTATTTGGGGACGCTTGGTTGCGGATTAGTCTCGCCACAGGAAGTAGGGTTTTTCCGTAAAGGGAAGAACGCGGAGACGAGAGACACAAGGCTTTGGGTGTCTTCCGGCTTATAGAAGCTTTTCACTGTTATAACAAGCGAGGGAGTGGCGTGACGTAGGAGGTCACGTGGGCCTCGCCTATACAACAGAGTGTACGGAGCCAGTAGGCAGGTTCTGGAGACGGTGGGAGAACCTCGTGCGTGTGCACAAAACTTGGCGCCAAGACGGTGCATATGCGAGCCAGGCTCGCGAGGCTGGAGTCTGTAGTTGACGAAGCCTGCGGACTTTATGTCCTTGGGTGACTGCGGTCACGGGGGAGCGATGCTGTGTGCGTGCTCCGAGGTGAAGAGTGGTTGAGTGCCACGATTCACGCCGATTCTCAATCGGATAAGATCGCTCCTGCGATCGAGGCAAACCAGCCGTTGGTGCGCCAGAACGGACTTTGTGTCCCAGCGTGACATCCGGTCACGGAAGCTAGGCTTTGTGCGCGCTTCAAAAGTAGGAGTGGCGAATGCCACAATCAAAACCATCTTCAATCGGGTTTTGGATCGCTCCCGCGATCAGGGGATAGGAGGTCTATCAGAGCTAGGGTGTAAGTAAATTATTAAGTGTATATATTTGTTTGTTTTCTTGTTAATAAATATATTTGTTATACGAAAGCTCTGTGTCTGTGGTCGCTGTGAGTATCCATGACGTCACAATATGCAGCTAGTGTCAAATATCCTGCCGCTTTCATCACTCAAACCTAGGACCTCCTGGCTAGACACATTGCTGTGAAATCACTTGATTCCGTGAACAACCTAAGCCGGTTTGTAGTTATTTTAATTTTAGTGGTTGCAGTTGTTTTATCAAAGAGTAGTCTCCAGAAAATCGCTGGGAACAATTAGACCGATTAATGATGTATGGGTAACATAAGTAAGTTCTGTTGGCACTTTACAGAGAAGAAGATTAGAAGCAATATGTTCGAAACGTCATCTCAACCATTTGGCAGAACATTCTAGCGCCCGGATGTTTTTGTCACTAGTTTTAGTTTAGTCAATAGCTAGCGAATGCCGGAGAAGTACCCTAACAATACGACCATGGCCGCGTGCGATCTTTCCTTCCCATTCCTCGTTCTACCCTCACTCCTTAACACACACTTTCATGCTCTACTCTATCAATAGAACTGGTCTCAGAGCTTGTCACGGCTGCGATGGACCCGGGAGCATACACCGGAAATGGAAAAGCCCCAGCAAGTTGATGTGTAGGGCTGCCCAGTTCCAAGTACAGGTATAGGGGAAAGACAACTGTGAGAGAAACTGAATTTTTATTGTGTGCCCCCCCCCCCCAAAAAAAATTATTTATGTTAGTAGTGTGTACACAGTCATAGTTATAATTTATCTCTACCCCTGAATAAGGAACTATTTTCTGCTTTATTTTACAGTCATATAACGAGAGCAAACAAGCGTACAGCATATAATTTTGCTATTAGAACGCGTAGCTTGTACTCTATTAACATGTTTGTTTTTAAACCTGCAGGGTGTTTGATGAATGATATAAATTATAATATATGCATGAAAGTTTAGAATTTATAGTATTATTTGGAAAACATGTTTCGACTGCAGCGTTGTTTTATGCAGTATGTTTTTATGAGAATCGAAACAAATAATTCCTTGAGATGAAATGACTTAATGCCCTCTGCGAGGAAACTAATTGATAAAATTTTTGTGGATATTATTTTTCTTCGCGAAATTGTTTATTCTTTTTTGCTTACAAAAATATGACATTTATTGTGAAATACGAAATATGGTCAAAATTTTTAAAGAACAGTAATTGAATTAAGTCTCAGCTGTGACAGCTCGACAGAGTGGGTCTACAAAATAAAAATTGATGACTTAAGAGAGTACCGTTTAAAATAATAATCCTCGTAGACATAATAATCCTACATAGACATCATTGAGAAATGCTGTTTCAGTCATTGGTACTGAGAGGCTACCAGACTGTTGATTCCCACCTATTAAGACACTAAATTAAATTGATTTAACCTCCATGTAAGGAGAGAAACATTTATATCAGGGGATTTCAAAATGAAGTATGCTTGTACATAAAACAAATTATAGTCTACATTTGTCATCAACAACTGCCAAGGAAAAATAAGAAAATACTCTGCAACGTAAATCTAAAATTGTTTCGTTTGACGCTTCTTTTAATTGAGATCTATAACGTCAAGCAACATTGTATACCTTCTTCTTTCTATATTTCTTATCTATTTTTACCTCCATCTGTCGTTTCATTAAATTTTGATTGCGTCTCACAATACGTCACAACCGATTTTGATTAGGTCTTCATTATATAATCAAGTAAGCGTTGAATTAATTTAATTATCTAATTTTGAATATTTTGTACCCCTTTTATTTGATGCCTTAATTTTGCATTCTTTCTATAATGTTTTATATTTTTCACTTTCATATGCGTCTTCACGTAAATGGGTTAACATTCATTCATTTAATATAAACGTGTACGAGAGCAAACACTTCACAAACGCGGTTCCTGCTAGCTTCTACGGACAGTTTGCTTCAAGTCAACGCCCCTCTTCCCCCACCTCCCCGAAGCTATCGCTCACTCCGTCTTCTCGCTTCCCCTCTTGGCTCATAAATCCCTCAGCCGGGGCTCGAAGGCGCCGAAAGCCTTTTCGGCGCTGGGCCCCGTCCACGTGGTACGCAGGTGGAAGGAGGAAGAGAAGCCAAATGTTTGCGGAAGCTGTCGGCGATACAACGTAGTGTTTGTGGAGAGCGTCGTTCCATACATTTACATCTCTACGGAAAGATTCCCCAATCGCTTATCCGCAATGCTAGCGCTTGACAATCCCCCAAAGACGCACCGTTTGTACACGACGGGTGGCGGCATGTGTAAAAACAACGCGTTGCGTCTTTTGATTCCAAAAATAGCTAATTGAAGAAGGTTTGAAAATTATCATGTTGACCGAAATATAGAACGCTCATCATTCACTTGGGATTATTCATTTTATCTCCTATCATTTCGTCAAAATACTTTGACCTCTTCAGAGCCAGCTTTAAGAGATTACTTTGAGATAGTAACAGGTATTTGACATACTGTAGTCCGTGATAGTCTTTACATCGTACATTAAGTTTGATTGCCGACATTATCTGTGCACAAGTAAATATCTAAGACATTTTACATGACGAATTTTTAGAAAATAATATATTTAACTAGTATTAAATGTACAAAAATGGCGCACAAAGTAGATAGTAAACAAAGCCACCTTCGTGTTAAAACCCTTGTCCTACAAATTGTAATATCAAACAGTTGTTACTTTTCTTGTGCTCGACGTCATCTTGATAATTTTCTTTATTGTACCTCATTTTTGATCTTAGAATGCCTTTACTGTACTTTACAGTATTCTCCAACATCGTAAATTGCAATCTCGTATTCTGGAAATTGTTTCTACCTATATGCCATTTTGGTAACAAATATGAGGACACTAACTGAACAAACATTCACCAGGCATTGCATGCGCAACAATTAGACATTCTTCCAGACCAAATATTTGGCGCTGTGGTAGCATATCACTAGTTCAAATATTCTTATTTTCACTTCTGCCTATATTTACTAAATTAACTTCCTTTGTGCATTACTATGAATTCTAAGCACTGCCTCTGGGTTTGGCCAAAGCCCCTGAAAATATTACGTGCCCTCCCTTTCCATATTACGTGCCCTTATCTGAACAGACCTAACACATCTATTTCGTTTTCAGGTAAAAATGCTTTTCAGTAGAAGTCACAATGTTAAAAAATGACTTTTTTTGGCATTCCAACGATTAGGTGTACAAACAAGCAAACTAATTCATAAACAACTATCTAAATTAAAGCAGTTAAAAAAATTTTTAAGGACGATCCTAACGCACAATTTCATATATGAGGACAGATCTGTAATTTCAATAACAAAGAAAAGGTTTTATCGTAATCTTAAGTATCCGGAATGAGCCACGTCAGTCTATTAGACTGACATTTCCGCCATCTTGCTGTGGCATTTTTAAAAACTATATTGCTCCACATTTAGACGAAGTCGTATTTCCCATGTATCTCCTAAAATATTAAAAAAAAGCAGAGTGTGGTTACCTCCATTCAATTTCTCGCATCTTCTTCTACATATATACCAAGTACAATTACAAAAGCCAATTTTTTTTCTAACGAAGTCGTATTTCCAATGTATCTCCGAAACTATTAGATTGAGCGGATTGTGGTTCGTTCCATTCAATTTCTCGTAACTTATTCTACTTATATCCCAATTTCTATTACAAGAACTTGACATTACATTTTTCCTCATTTTGTCACGTATTGGGGGGGTATTGTGAACTTTCGCAATTAGAAAAAGT